CAGGCCACACCCCTAGGGAAACTCCCCTTGGGCAGATTGGCCACTCAGAACACAGTCATCCAATCCCATCATGGGAACAACCACACAGAATTGGGGTCCAGCCAAGTTGACACACAGCTCCAACCATCACAGACCCCTTCTTGGGTTTCCCAGGTGGTGTCTCTGTGGAAGTAGATTGCCCAGTCTTCTTTCTGAGGAATGCCTGGTGGGTTTGAATTGCCAGCCATCCGGTTGGCTGTCAAATGCCTTAGACACTATGCCACCAGAATGCCTATAAATTTGAATAAGAGTAGTATTAACTGCTCTTCCTTGTAGATGTATGGATACCTATGAAGTATCCATACAGTGTCCTATCACTGACAGGACTATGCTTCAGTACAGATCTTGAAACTTCCTTTGTGATGATAAATGCCCCACCATTCCTCTTCAGTTTGTCATTATCAGCATAGTAGATCAGATGATGTTTGATTGAAAATGGCCAACATAGGTCCATTTCAGCTCACCAATATCTAGGGTATCTATCTTTATGCATTACATTTCATTTATGAAACTTCCAGTTTTCCTAAATTCATACTTCATACATTCCATGTTCCAATTATTAATGGATGTTTCCAACTGTTTCTCCCCATTTTGAGTCGTTCCACATGAGCAAATGGAGGTCCTGAAAGTTTTACTCCAAGCACATCATTAAGGTGGACTGTACTTTGAGGAGGCAGCTCTTCCCCAGTCATATTTTGAGTGCCTTCCGACCTGAAGGGCTCATCTTCTGTCACTATGTCAGACAGTTTCAGGACTAGTCATAAAGTTTTCCTGTACTATATCAGACAGTGTTTCACTGCTATTCATAAGGTCTTCACTGGCCAATTCTTTGAGAAGTGGATGGCCCCTTCCTTCAGTCAAGTCTGTCTTAGTCTGGCAGCTCTGCTGAAACCTGTCCACCATGGGTGACCCTGCTGGTATGTGAAATACCGGTGGCATTGCCTCCAGCCTTAACAGCAACACACAAGCCACCACAGTACTACAAACTGGCAGACTAGGGGTGGTTACAGATACAGATACTGGATATCCTTTAATATTGGGTTCTTTAGGCACAAAAGCCCAGGCTGTCGGCCATGTTCCATTCATGTGAGTTTCTCAGCCCATAGTCTGGAATGGTAGGTGTGAGTTACATGGAAGATCCTTGATCATAAAATAAAAGTAAATTCTGGAGTTAAACTGCCAAGATTAAAAAAAAAAAACATTGAGGCAAATCAAAGTCAGGCCACAGTTCCTGTCCATGTAAGACCCCTTCCTCACACTCCAACGTAGGATGGAGACTTCTCTTCCTGGTCTGTGTTTCATGGAAAGCCCAAATTACTCAGAAAGTGAGGAATGATTGAATACTTAGTCTGAGGAGTTTAAATACTTTATTT